CACCACAGTAAGCTAGATGACAGCTCCATGCTCTTGGATTTTCCAGCCACTAGAATCATGAGTTCAATAAACCTCATTTTCTTTATAAATCACCAGTCTCAGAATAAATTAAGACATAGATCCAACTTTGGATTGGAGGAGAGGTGGGGCTAACAAGAAGATATGTCCTCTGAGCAGATCTCCGAACTTGATGAAACATCATGGTGGTAAAATGGGGAGAAGGGAAAAATGCCAACCTGCTTTGTGTCTGATAGGAAGAATTGGCAGAACAGAGATAAACAAAACCAAATTCATCAAAATAAAACCCATAAACTAGATTTTACTAAGAAGCAGGCTGATCTCTTGTCCAAAACCCCTGCTCTACCAAATTGGATGACCATAGAAGAGAAGAGCCCATGGTAATTCACCCAGAAAATGTGGCAAAAAATGTTTTGAGAGTACATACACAATTGAAGTTCCTGGCTACCTCAGATCACTATGCCCATATCACCTAACAATATATTTTAGTATAGGTTTTTTAAAAATTAAATATAATCAAAGAGAAAGTATCACATACTTGTTGTAAGTATCAGGTCATTAGAAAATTCATGCTGGACTCAAACATGAATAAAGATTGTCATTAAGATGGCTGAGTAGAAGGCCCCAGAGCTCCTCTTCTCCACAAAGGAAGACTAAGGTAACAAATAAATAACTATACTTTTTGTGGTGTCTCCAAAGGAGAACATGGAAATTCAACTATTAAATGACTGATGCTACTAAAGCACAAAAACATAGGACGACAGCATAGAAAGAAAAGTGAAGCAGCTGGCCAAGAATGGAAAGTAAAAGATCTCCAGTTGTCCCCAATATCACCAAAGAGCCATGACATGGTATTCAGTCCTCACAGATCCTAAACCCAGAAATTCCCTGAAGTCCACATAGTTGCATGACTCCAGGAAAGGGACTCAAGGAAGTTCATTCCCACCCCTGGGTTCCAACCTCTATAGTTCACTGCTATTTTGAGAACAGAGCCACTGTTAGATAGGAGCCCTCTTTGGAGGCCAATAGCCTTGCACTTTCATGCCCTGAGGGCCTGTGACATTTTATCAGAACCACACAGGCAGCTTTTATCACTACCATTGCAGCTATATCCATTGGCAGAACCAAGTTTGACATCTGAGCACATAGAGCACCATAAATATAAGACAGAGATGGTCCAATGCAGTGCATAGGTCATTCACAGGACTGAGTGAACAATCATGCATATTCA